CAAATGACTTCTTTTAACGTACACGCTAGGTCTATAGGGATCGAATGAATTTGGAATATCAAATTGAAGTAAATGATAATAAACCCTTTTTAAATAAAAATAACTTCGTGCCAAGGCAGACGAGGCCACACCATCTATCCTTCATGCTAGAGCTGGCAGGTTTTCACGAGCTGAATAGTTGTATTTGGACCACACACACAGAGGAAAGGTGGTTGTGTTTGTGGGCTCAACTTATTTTTCTTAGAGAAATGGACACCTAATCAGCCAAAATTAGGCACCACTAGCACTAGCAGCAACTGTTTAACAACCTAACTACTATTCTAACCTACCTAATTAACAAACATAATAGTAATAGACTATCAGTACATAAAACTTTAAAACTCTGTGTCATATTCAAAATCATTCTATCTTCTTTATTAAGCCACTTGGTCTCTCTTAATATAATCTCCATTTTATCTCTTTCAACTTTTGCTATTTGCTCATGTGATCTTTTATTATATACTTCCCAGATAAAAGAAGAAGAGATCCATGGAGAAGTTTGTTGTATTTCCATTTTCTTTAGGGTGTGTTTCTGAATCAAGTGTTCCAGTGGTCAATACCAACAAAAGCCACAACACAGACAATATTTCTCAATTAAATGATCACCTTCCAACAAGTATGTTTTAAGTACTTCATTATATTTTGTTACGTCTTCATAAAAATGCTGACTCTTTGATTTCTCTTGTTTTGTATGAAGAGAGACAAGTAGTTGGAGAAAAGAGTCCATCAAAAGTGAAAATAAATGGATTTTTGGTGAGACGACGAATTACTCAAGGAGTGGACACATTCAAAAGGAATTTCAAAGGCTTCTATCAATTATTTGGCAAGTATTTTTGTACTCATGATGTAACATATTTTGAGTAATTTCTTGATATTTTTTTTTGTTGCAGTGTACAAAGAAGAAATTGAAGAGATGGAAATAGGATATCCAACAGATGTGAAGCATGTAACACATATTGGATGGGATGGACCTACAAAAATTAATCCTATGATTAAAAACTGGGACAATTCAAAGGAATCTGATTTACCTTCTATTTCTATTCAACAATTTGAACTTGCTTTGGCTGGTGGATCCTCTAGGTTTTAGTAGTTGCAACTAATTTTCATTCCCTTTCTTTTTGATAAGTAACATGTCGAAATTTTTTATATTGAACCATAAAATGTTCTCTAACATTTAAAGCTCTTCATTGTTATTTTTGTTGTTGTTTTCTATGGAATTTAAATGTATATAATGTCAAATTAGTAGGGAAGTTGTCACTTTTTTCCCTTCTCTATTTCCTTGATGCAATTCAAATTCAAAGTACACAAAATTTATCTACAACAAAGAATTGTAGTTAAAGTAAATATTAGAAAGCAATTGATAATTGTTATTTTTAAGTTAAAACTTTAGTCTCTTTGAAGGGTTTGTGGTATTTGAGCTTCCAAGATAGAGATCTTATGATGGGAAGATTTTAAAAGAAAATAATATCATTGTTATTGTTTAAACAACGATCGACCTCTATTTCTAAAATTTAAAATAAAATTAAATAATTTCATATAATTCAAGAACACTTTGGATATTTTTACTTCTTACATAAGGCTTATGGTAGGTATTATTAATGAAAAGTAAAATGTTTAGACTAATTGCATTACAACATAAGTAATTATTAACATAAAATAAATTTAAATATTTTGCAAACCTTTAGAATATAATTTTACATTTTTCCTATATATAAAAAAAGATGAATTATTTATATTTTCATCTATTTTAACCCTATATACTTTTATTGGGCAGAGATTTTTTTTTCTTTTTTACTATGAATAAATATCAAATATGTACTTCTACTTTGGTTAGTTTGCACTTGGAGCAAAAATAAAATATCAAATATTTTCAAAATACTTTAATTTCTAAATCTAAATATATTACATTATTTTTTGGGAAAAAGATCAAATTAACTTTATTTTTACGATGAATATAAATCTAAATAATAAATGAATGTTGAAGGATATATTTTTCTTTTTTCCATATTTTTCAGATCACTGTTTCTGCTTCTCCTTCATCATCCCTATTTGTACAATTTTTTTTTTCTTTCTGAAAACCCATTTATAAAACTTCATAATCTGAAATCCTGCATAAAATCAGATTTGGTAATAAATTTTTATATATTTTTCTTGTTAGTATATTATATTTATTTTGTCCAATTTTGAAATCATAATGTTGTTGCAGAATTTGTGATATTGGAAGGAAATGGGGTTCGCGGTAACAAGTTTAATTTTTGTCGTGGTCGGAGTTATTGCATCCTTCGGTGCCGGAATCTGCTGCAATAGAGGACCTTCCACTAATTTGTATGTGAAATTTTCTTCAGATTTTGTTTGGGGTTATTGTTGTTCATTATTATGGGAATTGTTTGATTTAACTAGCTTTATAATCAGAATTAGTCTTTTTATTGGTGTATTAGAAAGTCATAATTTGGTAAAGTAAGTAACTTTTTGTTTCAATTCGGTGTCTCTTCTGGTTAAGGGTCAGCGTAACTCATGTTGGTCTTTTATATGCCTTTTGATATTGCATAAGTTGTCTATTTGTTCTGTGCTTACACTTTGTTATGTCTTGCTTAGATTGATTGGCGAAGTCTATCGAAAATTGTTTCTTTTACCTTTGGTGTTGAGCCAGCTTGATTGTACTTCTGTCGAGTACTTGCATCCTTTTAGCTATGTTGGTACCAGATAACTCTACCAACCAAGACTTTGGTAGATCGGAAAGGATCACCTTTTTAGTCTGTATCCATCCTTGTGGAGGATTTGAGCACAAGATTGTTGAAAGATTTATGCTGCTATATCTTTGATCTTCTGATCATCTATGATTTGGAGCAGTCTGGTAATTCTTGAATAGGGATTGAGATAACAAACAACCGGGAAGTATTTATGAGAGAAAATGCCAGAGTATCGACTTCATTTACCCTTTTCTGAATATTGTGACATTGAGTAAACCTTTGAGACTAAACTTTCATGAGATAGCAGGGTTTCGACAGTGCAAGTCTGCAATGTTCACTCTTTAAGATTTCCCACCTTGATATTCCTTAAATTGAGGTCCCTTCCGTTTGTGTTCTAAATTAGTTAAATTCAACAAAATGCTATGTGATTTGCTTCCTCAGTTTTTGGTATACTTATACTTTGCTTGACTAGTATTAAGTGAATGATCAATGATCAATTAAATTATTTAAACATTTCCATTATAATCACTTCTCAGTTCCTTCGTAATGTTACGATTGCAATTTAAACAAAAGAAAAACACTATAAAGCAGTAAAGTTTAGACTTGGTAGAGTTCGATATTTGTTAAATCAGAGGGGTTTCAAATGCATCTACTCTCACTTTGAGTTTTGAATATCTGTATAGTCCTTGTAGAGTTGAAGATAGAATTGACTTGTGCTGGATTTCATTATTTGGCCAATTTAGATAACTGAGAGAACCAAGCACGTTTTAGCAAAACAGAACTGATGCCAATTATGAATATTTTGCTTGGTTTTTCTTTTACCATGAATTGTCTTATACATTGCCACCATCTTCCAAGCTTTCTGGGAACTGAAACTTTGAGCTCTTTTGTGACATCTCTAACTGAACTTTGGTGATGCAGGTTACACCTGACATTGATTATCACTGCTACAGTGTGCTGTTGGATGATGTGAGTCTCTCTCTCTATCACACACACACGGACTTACACTCCCACCATAAAAAAGGAAAAAAAGGAAAAAAGAAATAGAATTACATACTTTTGGCATGCACAGGGTCAATAAAAGAGCAAGACATGGTACATATTGTCATATTCCTTGAATGTTAACGTATCAGTTCACATGTTTGACCTGAAACAAAAAACTAGTTAGTCTTAATCTGAATTTTCTTCATTATATTGTGTGGCTTAAATCTTTTGATATTCAAAAGGGTCGCATGGTTAATCACTCATTCATTGTATGTGTTATGTAGACTACTCTTTCAGGCTTTCAGCTTAGTGCATATTTTGGTTTACTAGTTGTTTAATATATTGTCAGCACTCTCCAAATTGCCTGAGTGTGCATAAAATATGCAGAGGGTTGTTCGATCTGTTTTTGGATATTCGGATGCTGCCGCGTGAAGAACATATAGTCTTTTAAGGAGTTGGCTGGATACGTAGTTGAGCCATGTACTCATAGTTCTAGGATAGATGACAACTAACGGTTGGCACTGTGAGAGGATTTACCTGATGATTTTCTTTCTAGGATTCACTATGAATTTCCTCATTTTAGAGAGAGATGTTTTGGAGTTCATAGCTTCAGTTTCTATAGGTCCATCATATCCGTTTTTCTTCTGTTCTGCAATATTAAAGAACCCTCGTATGAAAAAAAGTTAAAGAAGGACCTCGTGTAATGTTAATCACTTTTCTGCATAAGCCACCAAAATTCTCCTCCTGCAGGGAGGCTATATATGTTGCTAGTTCTGGCTGTCCTATAGCAGTTGAGAATATCATTTCATAGTTCTGGCTGTCCTATACCCTTGGAAATAATTCCATTCACAATAGAAACTTCTAAAATTATATGAACATTGCTTCTTTACCTTTTCATCAAAATAGTAGTTGAGTTGTTGCTACTCTGTCTGTTGAACCACAAGTTCTTTTATTTTGCCCATTTGTGCTGGCGATTGGATATAACAAGCGATAACTCAACCAACATTAGTGACATATCCATGGAACTTTGTAAATCTAATGATCAGTACATTACTCACAAATAAATTTCAATTCATTTTATGTTTTTACGGACAGGTGGGCGATCGTGTACCTTGCACAGTTGAAACCGCTCATTGTACCAATCTTAAGTGAAGGAGAGTGAGGATGCTGATGGAAGATTGATGAAAGCATTTTGAGGCATGTAGCAGCTGAAGATACTGTTGTATCAGAATTTCTGTCTACTTATATATATTATATAGTAACAAAACAATTTTGAAGTCATTTTTTAGATTCATAGTATAATGTTTTCCAGTTCGAAATCCTTTCTCTTAGCTTTGGACTAATGCCAATAATAAAAGGTGAATGATGTAACTGGTAGCTCTTACTCTCTCTTTGTTTTGGAAATAAGCCTTTCTTTTTTCCTTTTATCATCTGTATTCTCCTTTCTGTTTGATGAAGATAAGTTTTCTAATTCTTGATTATAACTTACAAAAGTATAAGTGATGACATTTTAAGTTCTACGCCTAGTGATGACTGTTGATCACATTTAAAGCGTTATGTTTATGGTGATGAGAGGTAATAAGCACCTACATAATTTGATTCGAATATTGACAATTTTAAAAATTAGTATAGTAAGTCAATGATAACCAGCTCACCTACAAAATATTTTGAGGTTGCTATTACTAAATTCTATTGCTAAAAGTAATTAGACACTAAATAAACTACTGTATGTTTGTTTGATTAGCTGTGAGAATGCAATTATACAAATTAAAATGGTTCAAAATAGTCCCATTCAGAATATAGTGCTGAAATAAAATATCTTTTTTTTAAAGAAATTAAGAATAAAGAATGAGATTTGTGTTTGTTGTTGTAGGAGGCATATCTGTCTCCTAAACGACGATTGTTATGTCGAAAAAGATGATCGGAAAATCTAAAATGTGGAATTCATTCATCTGTTAATTGATGTCTCCTCTTCTTCCTCTTTTACCCAATTTGAGGAACCGTTCAAAGGGATTTGGATTGGGTTTGAAATTTCCCAATTCATTCCGCAAAATGATGCCTTTACCGGCACCGGAATTGAAGAGGTTAAGGAGGTCGGCAGTGGTGTTGGGTGTTTCCAATGCCCTTATAATTATCATGGGAATTCTTATTGTTATCGTCGCCCATTCTACATGTGGGGAAAACGACGGTACTTCGCCCGTTATGGTTATGATTATGGTTTCTTTTATTAGGATTGGTGCTATGATCGGCACTGGTATTGCTCAGCAACATACAGCTTCCAGTATTTTAACTTCTCAGACAGATTTGCCTGATTCTCAGATTGCTATTCGACAACAAAGACGGGTATTTTTTAACCCTTTTCTTTTTCATGATGTGCACTATGGAACCTTTTTATATTATATGGAGGTGTTTTATAGGATGAAAAGAGTTGACTTTAGCTATAGCTGAAGACAGTATTAAAGTAGTTATTGAGAAAGTAAGTTTTATGGGGAACATTAAGTCAATAACATCATACCCAATGAAATCCCAAAAGTTGGGTGTGAGGAGTGTAGAGTGTAAGCACACAATACCCCTACCTTGTGGAGGTAAGGTGACTGTTTCTGATTGAGTATAATATATCAGAATAATGAAAATGGGGAAACAACATTAGAGAAACAAAATAACTTGTGAGGAAATAGTAACGATCACAAAATAGTGCGATAACCTAAACATGGCGGAAGCAAAAACAAGATACTATACGAAAATGGCTAAACCCTCAAAATCATGACAACGCTCCATAATTACTAACCTTCTACCCTAAAATGCGACCTCCACACCCTCCTTTATAATGTCATGTCCTAGGTAATCAGGAGCTGCGCCATGTCCTATCTAATCACCTCTCCCCAAAAGTTCAAAAATTTATGTTAAATGAATTTGAGTTCTTGACTATTGTTTAGGAAAATATGTAGTTCGAATTGTGTACCATGAAAATAGTGCTATATAAATTGAAACAAAAGGAGTTTTTATTTTCTTTTGTCATGACGTAAAGGGATGGGTGGTACTAGTTTCGTTCTTTTGTTAGTTAGTTTAGGTTCTCCTTGAATGCTGGTTTTTGTTAATCCTGTGATGCTAAGGTACATCATCGTTTAAAATTTGAATAATTAAATGAATGGAAGTCCTTGAAAGTGGTGCAAGTTTCCTATGTCCATTTGCTGTAATGGGCGTGTGATAAAATTATTCTCTTTTACCAAGTATTTCCTATGCTTAAATTTAAAATCATTAGAGCTCTCTGAATGACATGTCTTATTTGTGACTTACTTTTGAGTTTTATCCTGATTACAGAGGAAATATAGAAGACTGTTATTGTGGACTCGAATTGCCTCAGTAATTACAATCATGCAACTTCTTGGAGCTGTTTTTCTTTTGTTCACTGTCACCAATCTCTTGCACCATGATACAGCATCAAACAATTGTCTGAGAGGTAATATTAAATTGTATGCATGCCTTTTTGAAATCTATCTTTCATGGGCATACTATTCAAGATTTTACATGCTTTATTGTCTATGATGAGCACCTGGTAGATAATCCTTTGCTACGATGTTTCGGTAATATGTGTCCTCTCTTCTCCTATTTTCTTTTTGGTGCTATGAACACGGTTTCGTAGATTCAACTTTTCTTAAAATGTCAAAGATTGTTAATGGGTGGACTGGTAGATGGTTGATTCTGTGAATAATTAGGCATTAAGGGGAGCAACATAAATATTACTTTTTGAATTTTGATCAAATTACAATATATTAATGAAGAAGTTGCATGTATCAAAATTGTTTCAAAAGCCTAATTTAGCTTTTAGAATCCTGTCTTTGCCTGTCTCAGATACTAGGTTTCAGGAAGCAACAATAAACAATTTCTATAACTAAGCAGAAGAAGAAAAGAATGAAAAACCTGTATGTTAGGGGTCTGCTGCGAAATCTTGGTGTATGTTGTGTTAAGACTTCTTTGTTAAGTAAAAAGGTTGACTTTTTCTTTAATCAAGTAATAATTTATTTACAACGGGAAAAGTAGAAAAGTTGCCTTTTATGTGTATGACTTGTACATCGGCGTTGTGCTTCACTAGTTATTAGAAGATATTAAAACACCACATGGATAACTCCATTTCTTATAATCATAACACTTGTGGCATACTTGCATTTAAAAACTTACCACCTTTCCTTTTTTTAACCCAACACCCCTTCCCTTTCACTAATCACAAATAACACAATTAACCAACATTTTTTTGTTTCAGTCATCAAAGTGAAAGTACTTATGAACTATATCTTGCAGGGATTCTCTCAAATGGTTCGAAGTGGCAACGCAACATGCTTATTCTTTTTATGGTTATCATATCTTATGTGGCTCCGGTACAATGTTTTGCTGGGGCTGACGTCTTGAGATGGAGGTCTTTCTATGCAACAGAAGATAATGCTTGGAGGGCACACTATAGGGAGGTATTTGATCATGGCATTCGTGAAGCTTTGTGCTGTCTGGGACGGGTCAAATACTTGTAGGCCTCTCTGCATATGTTGACCACAGGATTTTAATTGGTATTCAGAATCTTAACGAGCTTTCTTTGTATACTCTTTTTGCTGCATAGGACCGTGCTAGAGGAAGATGAGGTTTGTTCTGTGGCACAGTTACTTGGTGATCTTGTCACTTACCGGGCATCTGGAACAGGTCATTTAGAGCTCTTGGCAGGTTCGTGCTGATATATAGGGGGTCTGTGTACTTTACTTTTACTTATTCTTTATTTGATGGATATAATACACTTAATCATTCTACAGGAAGTGTGAAAGAATCTGGGTATTCAACCTAAAATCTTAAGACAATTAGTAGACTGATGCATCCTTCGGGGTGGTCCAGTGGTTTGGGCTTGTGATTTACATGTTGGAGGTCTCAAGTTCGAAACCCCTTGCAAGAGAAAGCAAGGGGTTTGCCTTCTTGGTCGAGCTCGTCGCACTGGGCTTGCTTATTGTCGGTTACCTCTCCTATGTGGTTTGCGAGCTATTGCATAAGAGCGGGAATTTTACCCTGCGCGCAACCAAAGGGTAGCGGCTGCGGGTTTCCCTTGTCATAAAATAAAAATAAAAATAGTAGAGTGATGCAAGACCTTAAATGCCTTTTGGATGCCCTTTTATACTCGATGTGGGACTGGGACATGAAAGGTCCTTAAAAAATCAAAGCTGTTCTAATATTGTATTATGTAGTCTAACATCTGTGCCAAAATCATGCTGGTTGTACATGCATCTGGAGAAGCGTATCCCACATTTCTTAACTAATGAGGGTACCTCCTTAGTATGTTAGGTGTATAGAGTGTAAGCATATCTGATAGTAGGGATGACATAGAAACATAAATAACCTTTGCTCACCCCCCAAAAAGAAAGGACATAGGGTTATCTACACTTACTACAACTAGTTTAGGATATTTGGATGCTGCAGTTCTTTTTAGAAATAGATATTTGATGTTCAAGAGTGATTTCTCTAAGGAAAAGTTGGTATTGATTTAGAAATAGCTATATAAGAAGTTACAAAGTTTTATGTTGGAAACAAAATGGAAAAGAATTCAAAGTTCATTTGAAAAACTTAGAGATTTTAACTGCAAGGGGAACTAAGAGGATAATACTTATTGAATTGACATGATCAAGGTTTTCTGGATTGTTATGCGTTCACTTTGTTCAGTATAGTTCTCATCCAACATTACAGTCAAAATGATAGTCATGAATGCTAGAAGTGCTTTAAATATTGGATTTGTTTTCTATTTCCTCGATTTGGAAGTATTCACTTTGAAAACAAGCTCATCTCTTTCTATCAGTAAGGTAAAAGAAAATGATCTCTTCTTGATATTCAGGACTAGCTTTATTGCAGAATTCTTCTTCCTTCTCTAAATCCTATGAAGAGTCAAGGGTTGTACCCATTGAAAGGATGCGCAAGGCTGCTTTCTATCATCCATTTGCTGAAGCAGCCTACACGGTATGATAACAAGGCATTGTAATTTGACTTGATTATAGCTCTGCTTATTTTGATGTGGAATGGTCAATTGCAGGGTCTATTACTTGATATAGGAAGAAATCCTGTACTTTTTTCTTGTTCATGGCTCTATAGGCAAGGCATTCTTGCTCCCTGGCTTTGGAACAGGTCAGACACCCACTGGTTTATCTTAGTTGTAAGATTACTTGGATTTTTAGAGCATGAAATGACATTTGCTTTTTTAAAGTTTAAAAGAAAGTGTTTCAGTGGAAAACCATACACGAGGCTGCAAGTTATACATCAGGATATGGATGAAATACATGGGAACAAAAGCCTGAGAATAAATGGACTCCTATGTGAGTTGACAGGATGAATTAATTGGAATATGGCATAGAAGATTCTCTAACTTTATGAGCAAAAGGATCAACATATCAGACAAGTTGCCAAAAAA